TCATTAGGAGTCTTTGTGTTGCAATTGGGGAAACTGAGGCCCAGTGAGGAGAAAGGACTTAGTTTCCCCAGTTGCAACACAAGAGTTAGGACTCAGTATTTCCTTAAGTCCCATTTGTTCCTTGGGATGCTAACAGATAGAAACAAAAACTTAGGTGATCGGAAAAAGTTAGGGAAATGCTGGGTTAAAGCTGGAAGGGTATCTTGCCTGCAGGACTTTTCAGAGCCTTTAATATGCTAATGTGACTTGTGCATCTTCAAGGTGGTGGGGGGAGGGGGACAGAGGCATCTATTTCTCAAGCTCTTTTAACCTACAAACCCACTTTCCAAGGTGGAAATCAGCCAGAGTAGGTGAAGACAGAAATAATACATCTACAGAACAGGATCTGTGCTGCCTAGTGGATTTGACTACCCGTCTCCTCTGTTCAACGCCACATGGTACATGCATTGTAATATTAGTTTCACCTTACGTTTGAGACATAGGTGGCTCAAAGAGGGGCAATCACTTGCCAAAGGCCACATGCTGGTGGGCGGCAGCCTCAGGACTGGAACCCTTGGGCCCCACTGCTCTGGGGGTGGGTCCCACTCACAGGACTAATTTGCCCTGTCATCCTGATCACACATCACCTGATGCCATCCCAGTCCTTCAAATGCCTCCACTCCTGTTGACAGAGGCTCAGAGAACTGGAACCAAGGCTCAGAGAGGCCATACAAGTCACCCAGGGTCACACATGGAGTCTATGAGGACACTCAGGCCAGTTTTTCCTGACTCCTCCCCTCCTCCTGCCACTCTTTAGTGAGCTGGTGATGGTGATGATTTAAACAAAAAACCTTTTGTCCACCGGGTTTGCACGCCCCCCTGGCTGGGCCTCCTTCCAATGGCCAGTGGCGGCCGTGTGGGCCCTTTAAGAGCACCCGGGACGCGCAGGCGCAATACAGCGCAGGGGGAAACCCAGGCGCACGTGGAGTCTCAGATGCAGCTCAGAGCTGAGCGGTGCGGGTTCGAATTCGCTGCTTGGAGGCAAGGCAGGGCTCGAAATGGGAGCGGGATCTAAAGGCTGGGATGAGTCAGGAAAACACGGAGCCACCCTGAAAAGGTGAGTGTTCCCCACGTGGATTCCCTCCACTCAAATGTTTGTCGAAGCCCTCCCTCCAGTCTGATGCCTCTGGAAGATGGGGTGATGTTCTAATTGCTGTTATGACCTGAAGTGGTAGTAATAGACGCGGTTCTGGGCCAGCCACACGTGGTTACCGTACTGGACAGCTCAGCTCTAACTGGGGGTGAACCCAAGACAGCTACACGGACAAGAGGAGGCTCCTAGCGTCCTTAGTGAAGGGAAAGGCTTGCACCTGGGGTGGGGGGAGGGGGCTGGGTCGGCTGGCAGCGGCTCCCCTCTCCCTCGTTCACCCATCATGAAGTCCCAGCGGCAGGCCGGACCTGCGTTCTGGAGCCAAGCAGGCCATATTTGGGGGTAGGTGGTAGTTTTAGTCACTGCACAGCACAGCAGTTAGGAGCTTGGACTCTGAGTCAGAGGGCTGGTGTTTTACCTGAGCTGCTTCGCTGAGCTCCATCCTCAGCTGTGTGACTTTAGGCAAAGTGATTGCTCTTCTCTGGGCCTCATCTGTGACGTGGCAGTGTGCACCCGTATCACGCGCACCTGAACAGTTGTGAGGACTAAATACCATTTAGTGCCGAGCCTGGTAGCCAATCTGCCTACAGTGACTGGGCTGTCTGTAATTGTAGTAATGATAACACCGTTATCACCTGCGCTGCTCCTCCAATGTGGTATAAAGGGCAGGAGTGCCTCATGCCAGAATGACGAGGCTGGAGGGCCCTTTGAGATCAGCTAGCTCAGCTCCCAGGGAGAAGAAACCTGGCCAAGGCACCCAGGGAGCCAGTGCTAGGACAGAGCTAGAACCCCAGCTGGGTCCTGGGGCCATGCCCCGACTGGCTGTGCTCCGTGCCTGCACCAGCCCTGCTTGCAGACCCACCCTGCAGAGGGTAAGATTTCTCCCAGGATAGGGGGCGGGTCCTCACCCCCCGGTGTGAGGGACCTGACCTGGAGGGTGGCTCCCATCTCTGTCCTCTCTCCTGATGCCCCAGTGTGGGCGGGCCTGGTGGCGGGCCCAGGACGTGGGGGCCTGGGCTACCTAGAATTGGTGCTGGTAGCCCCTTAGAACAGCTGAGCCACAGGCTGCCAAGCAGCCGTAAACCTGGCTGTAGACCCTGCTGCTCTGCCCCTCTCCCAAGTACCCGCACTGTGCTGTGGTCTCCTTGAATCCCATCTCTGGTTCTGGCGCTGCCCCCTTTGGGGATGGACCTGTTCCGGGTCACTCAAAGTACCATTGGTAGGATTTGCACCCAGGCTAGTTCACTCCAGGGGCTGGGTTGCCCTGGGCGCTGCCATGCCCCCAGGCGTAATTCAGTGATGGATGAGGGTGGAGCATCGAGGCAGCCTGGCCCAGGGTGTGGGGCTTGATGCCCGAACCTGGCTCCCTCTTACCATCCTTGTGGCCGTTTCTCAGATTCTCTGCGTCCTCATCTGTAAAGGGATGCTTTTATTACGTACCTGGGAAGGCTGTCATGAGACTCGATTATGTGTGGTCAGAAAAGCACTGTGTCAGCTGCTGTTTACATCCTATTTGTGATAACTCCCAGGGGCCTTTCACGCAGCGCTGACTTCCCTAGCTTGCCACCCAGCAGGACCCCTGTTCCTGCTCTCCAGGGCCCAGGTGGTGTGTTTGGTTCATTGACCCAGCTCAGAAGGGCCCGGGTCCCGCCCTGGACGTAGCCTCTTCCTCTCGGAGCCTCCGTGTGCTGCCAGGCTCAGGGGCCTGGCCTTAGGGAGGTGGGTGTCTGCACTGCAAGGTCACATCCAGGGTGGCCCCTCTGGCCCTCTTCTGCCCTGAACCTACCATGCCAGGCATCCAGACAGGGCTCCATGCATGAGAGGGGAGGCCTGAATCAGACTGGGGACTCCCCCTGTTCAGACACTGGGCCAACAAGCCAGGGGAGAAGGTGGGGGCAGGACGTGAGGAAGAGTCTGTGCTTTGCTGCTTGAACTACAACTTTCCACAGACTGGCTGTGTGACCTCAGGCAGGTCGCTTCACATCTCTGAGCCGCTTCTTCCTCTAGAACACCCCCTACCTTGCAAGCAGTGGTGAGGCTCCAAAGAGCTGCCGTGTATAGGAAAATGGCCAGCACACAGTAAGTGCCTGATAAATGCTGAGCACCCTGGAGCAGGGATGGTCTCCTGGACATCCCCAGGCGCCAGGGCACGGGGTGGGTGTGTGCTGGGGCTGGCCACTGCTCAGCCACTTTGGCCTGTCCCCAGCCACTCTGCCTCCAGGGAAGCAGGGATGGTGCCAGGCACAGAGGAAGAGCTGGAAAGGAATTTAGTGATGCAGGGGAACACCAGCCCCGGACCACCTCTGTACCCCTCAGGGAATGAGCCAGAGCGGCCCGGGCTCAGTTCTGTCTCGGCTGCTCTAGGACCGATCACTGACCCAACTGAGTGGCTGACACGTAAACAGGGTAAATGACAGTGTCCACTTTGAAAGAGCTGGAGAAGTAAATGAAACATTGCATACAAAGTGGCCCAGCAGAGGAGGGGCCAGGAGGCTCCTGGCCTGCTTCCGAGGGCTCCAAGCCCAGTCAGCAGGGGAGGAGACAGCCCGTTTTACTCCTAAGGGGAGGAAGGAAGAACGAACAAAAACAAGAGCTGCAAAACATCCCACAGCTGAGACACCATCTGTGTTTTCCTTTTTTTTTTTTCTTTCTCTTCGTTTTTAAAACAATATAGTGCAGACCGCACTTCTCACAGTAGAATATAATGGTCAATTTTAGTATAAAAAAAAAACATTCTCAGAGATTTGTAAATGCACTTAGTGCTTGAACAGGCCTTGGAGAGAGATACAGTACCGCTTCTGGAGTGCCAGAGGGGCCAGGACTTGGGGAAATCGGGCCTTGGAGACTTAATGGGGGGACCCCCCTGCCTGCCTTATCCCCCGGAATGGTGTGGGGCAGGCCTTGGAGGGTGGCTTGCAGGAAAAGAGTTGGATTGGATCTCCCAATTAAAACCAGCAGGTTGCCCCCGGAACTGGCTCCTAGGAGAACCCCTGAAGGAGGCGGGGTCTGGTCCCTCTGACGTTGTTAGCCCCTATGGCACCTTTGTGCACATAGGTGAATGGTGCCCCTTCCTCAAGATTCAGAAAATTGCTGTAATAAATATACAAGTCTAGGATGCAAATGGTGTCTCCTCAGATGAGTTGCCTTGTGCAGTACACAGCCTGCACAACTGTGCCCAGAAGCCCTGTAAGATGTACTGAAGGGAAGGGAGAAGGTGGTAGTCCAGGGTTTGGAGAATGGAGATGGGATTCTGTGTTGGGAAGGAATGGTGGGGAGGGGAAGAGAGTCTAGAAGAGGAGGAGCAGGGGAACCTGTAGTCCCCGGAGCCTGTATTCGAGTGGTCTTTGCCTGGAGAGGGCAGTGAGGGCGCTGTGGGCTCGATGACTTCCTCTAGGCCCCCTCTGCTCTTTTTCCAGGAGACTGGGGAGCTCGTGGAGGGAGGAGCTGTCTAAGCCCCGGGGGCCGCTCTGATCCCACCCCGACTCTAGACCCTAACATTTCCTTCTGCATCCCACTGTGGTCTGACCCCCTCTGCCGGAGAGCCGGAAAGAACCGCTCCTGTTTTAAGTGGTTTCTCTCTCCCTGCCTCTGCCAGCTTGGATGGAGGAAGGTGTGGATGTCGGCAGCTGCCCCCGGCTCTCCGCGTGTCCTGGGGCAGCTGATGGTGGGGAGGGGCCTTGGCGAGTGAGGTCACCTTGCCACTCCGTGTCGGCAGCAGCCGGCAGCAGCCGGTCTGGCTTCCCTGTGGGTATTAATGGGCACTCGGACACAGGGCGGGGCTGGCGCCCCCGCCCCGCCTGCTGCCCACCCTGTTCTGCGGCCTGCCTCCCCCCTGGGCGCCCTGTCCGTCTGTGCATCTGCCAGGCAGGCCTTATCTGTAGACGGGCAAGCGGATGTGGGCGTGCTGGTGGTCCAGCAGCCGGGGCACAGCCACCGTCTCGTAGCCCTTGCCCAGCATCTGCTCCTTGATGCAAGGGGGCCGGATATCGTTGATGAGATACTCCAGTGACTGCAGGCTGCTGCTCAGCACGGCCGTGTTGCACACGCTCTTGCTGGGCAGGCCTGAGAGGGTCTCCGCCGGGGGCCCCGCCAGCTCCCGGGCCGCCCCCGGCCCCAGCTCGGTCACGGCCACTGCCGCGGCTGCTGGATTGTAGCAGTCGCTGGTGGGGGTCACCAGCACGCTGTTCCAGGGGGCGGCAAAGTACTGGCCCACGGTGAAGCTGGTGGGCAGCCCCACGCCGCAGCTGACGGGCGACCCGCCGGCCCGCTCGTACACCCGCCCCCCACAGGCCTCGGGGGACTTGCTGGCCGCCGTGCCGCCGCTGTAGGCCCGCAGCGGCTGGGGTGGGGGCGGCGGCGGCGGCGGCTTCTGCGGCCACAGCAGGTAATCCAGGCCTCCGTCTGCGTACCCTGTGGGCTTGGCGGCCCCAGCCAACGTCAAGGCCGGCGTGCTTCCCTGGCCCAGCTCGGCGCCCTTCCGGCAGTCGGGTGGGCCGGCAGTGGCCGGGTAGGCCAGGCTGGGGAAGCTGGGCACCGGGCCGTGCTTGGCTGGGCTGGGCTGGGGAATGGCCACGGCCTGGCAGGCGGCGGGCGCAGCGCCTGGGGCCTGGCACTGCTGGTTGAGCTGATAGAGGATGCTGTGGATGGAGGGCAGGTTGGAAGGCGGCAGGGGCAGGCCGCGGCCGGGCAGGGGGATGACGGGGGCGGCGGCGGCCGCGGCCGCGGGCAGGCCGGGGGGCGGGGCAGGCGCCTCGGGCGGCTTGGGGTAGGCCAGGGGCCCCAGAGTGCTGGGCGCCGGGTAGGGCGCGATGCCCACCTGCACGGCGGCCGGCGACAGCTTGGTCCGCTTGCCCTCGGCGCTCTTGAGCACGCTTTTGGTGAGCCCGGGGGGCGCAGCCACGCCGGAGGAGGAGACGGCGGCCTTGACGACGGCGAGCAGGCCCTGGTAGCCGGCCGTATGCGGCGGGTAGGGGCTGTAGCGCTGGCCACTGGTGTCGTAGCCGTTGACGGTGCGGCTGAGGTGCTTGTGCTGGGGCACGCGGATATTGGTGGGGAAGATCTTGATGGAGAGTGGGCTGTTGGCCACCTTCTCGGCGTAGGCGTCCAGCTCGGCCGGGCTCGGGTAGCGGGAGGAATGCATGGAGCTGGCCACCGTCTCGCCTGTGGGGACACGGGAGTGGAGGAAGCACAGGTGAGAGCCGACCCTGCGACCCGGGGAGGCCTGGAGGCCGCACCCCGCCACTATCCCCGGAAGGACTCACCAGCCACCCCTCCCTCGCTTTTTCCGTCCAGTCACTTGCTCCTTCATTCATTCTTTCTAAATCGTTAAGCTTCGGATCAAAGTGTAAAGTTCGTTAAAGGAAACTGCATACATCACAAGCTGGCTGCACTTTCACAAACAGAACACATGCGTGTGACACCTAGGTCAAGGGAGAGGCCTGTGCCAGTCTCCAGAGGGCCCCCTGCGCCCCCTCCTAGTCAGTACCCACACCAAGGGAACGGCTCTCCTGGCTCCTAATGGCGCGGACTCGTGGTGCCTGGGCCTGGCACAGGTGAGCTGGGATCCTTCAGTGCATGCTCGTTTGCACTGTCGGCTCTCCGCCACTTAAGGTTACGTTTCGAGGTTCATCGGGTGGCCATGGGCGCGGCGGTCCGTTCATTCTCATGGCCGTGTGATGTTTGAGTGTGACTACCTCACAGGTTACTCATCCTTCCCACTGCGGATGGCATTTGGGTCATTTCTGGTTTGGGGCTGATACAAATAGTGTGACAGCCCCTGGGGCACGTATTCAGTGAGTCCTGGCTGGGAATAGGCCCAGGAGCAGAACTGCTGGGACAAAGGAGAGACGAGAATGTTCAGCTTCAGGAGAGAATGCCCAACAACTTGCCGAAGAGACTGTGCCAGCTGCGCTTCCCGCACAGCCC